CCCTGCACTCCGAGGCCCTCACACTCTGCTCCACCTCCATCGAAAGCCCGGTCGAGAAACAGTCAGTCGACATTCCAGCCTGCTATGCCCCCTTCAGTGAAGTATTCTGCCCGAAGAAGGCCTCCCAGTTACCTCCGCACCGGCCATGGGACTGTGCCATTGATCTGATTCCGGGTGAGCCAGTGCCCCATGGACGAATTTATCCCTTGTCACTCCCTGAACAGAAGGCCATGGAGGATTAATATCGAAGAGGCTTTACAGCAAGGTTACATCCGCCCTTCTACGTCCCCTGCTGCTTCCAGCTTCTTCTTCGTGGCCAAGAAGGACGGGGGTTTGAGGCCCTGCATCGACTACCGGACACTCAATAAGAGCACCGTGAAGTTTCGCTACCCACTTCCCCTCGTTCCAGCGGCTTTGGAACACCTCCGCGGAGCCACCGTCTTCACCAAGTTGGACCTCCGCAGCGCGTATAACCTCATCCGTATACGTGAGGGGGACGAGTGGAAGACCGCCTTCGTGACTCCTACTGGGCACTATGAATATCTTGTCATGCCGTATGGACTGGTAAACGCCCCCTCCTTATTCCAGGATTTTATGCACAAGGTACTCCGGGAGTATCTGCACAGGTTCGTCCTCGTCTACATAGATGACATTCTAATTTACTTCCGGAGCATGGCCGAACATCGCCACCACGTTGTGGAGGTCCTAGAGCGCCTGAGAGAGTTCCATCTGTTCCTCAAAGCCGAGAAGTGTTCCTTCCATCAGTCCTCGGTTCTACCATTACAGCTCCATAACCAGTCCACTCACTAATATGCTCCAAAATAAGCCCAAATCTCTGTCCTGGTCACCAGCCGCCACGGAGGCCTTTGAAGTCCTTAAGAAAGCCTTCACTTCTGCCTCGCTCCTCATCCATCCAGACCCTAATAAACTGTTTGTGGTTGAGGTTGACGCTTCCACTACAGGAGTCGGAGGCGTACTTTCTCAGCAGCAGGGGACACCAGCCAAACTCCATCCATGTGCCTTCTTCTCACGCAAACTCAACCCGGCGGAGAGGAATTATGACATCGGCAACAGGGAGCTCCTGGCTATCAAGCTAGCCCTAGAGGAATGGAGGCATTGGTTGGAGGGAGCACACCACCCATTCAGCGTCCTCACTGACCATAAATACTTGCAATACTTACGAGACGCCAAGAGACTCAATCCTCGCCAGGCAAGATGGGCCCTCATCTTCACTAGGTTTAATTTCACCATTTCCTATCGTCCTGGCCCCAAGAATGTGAAAGCAGATGCCCTCTCTCGCCTACATGCTCCTGAAGAGGTCAGTGAGGAACCAGAATCCATTATCCCCAAGGAAATCTTCGTAAGCCCCATCCAATGGAAGGATAACCC